CTCTGTACTTACATAGTAAACAAAAAGGCTGTCTCTCGTGGCGATAAGCGGGGGGTGGGGGGTGGATGGCCCCTTTGGCCAATCATCCACCGCTGCCGCAGCTGATATATACAGGAGTCCTATTTAATTTGACAAATCGAAATTACTCGAAAAATACGCAGCGTACAAAAAATGTCTCAGACAAAAAGTGAATATCTCCTAGGAGGATATATGCCTGATCTCAAATCAAACCTCACCCCTGCTCCCCGGGAGCGGGCCAACTTTGAAATCTTAATGGGAAACCCATTTTTATTGCATATTCGAATTTTGCACCAAAAATAGTAAGTTTTGTCCAAAATATTTTTTGTGTTAGTGATAGATGACACCGAAATCTCAAAAGTAATATTTTTGCAATTATAGAGAAATTACACTTTTGATTGAAAAATAAAGAAATGCCTGCTCAATAATTAAAAAAAAGATATAATTATAACAGTTAAGCCCCCACCCCTCCGTCAGGGATTTGGATGGGGGTTAACTTTCAAATCTCAAACGGGATCCATTTTGTTCATTGAAGAATTATATTTGGGGAAGTGGGGATAATGAGGTTAACTTATTTTCAGTATAAATCAGCAGGGATTGTTCCTATGGACAAGTATGCGCTTTTATATCAGAATATTTATTAAGCTTGTGTTTTCACCACAAAAAATTATATAAAAAGTCACTAAAACCCTCTCAAGTATCGAATTTGCAAACATTTGCATTTGATCACCCATTACCCTCACAAGTGGGTAATGGAGGTCACTAAAGAAATGTAAAGCATAATGAACACATTAGTGCTTCAAACTGTATTTATTTTGTTTACAATAATTGTATAAGTCTAAAGTAATGTGACTCCCACGGTTATTCAAGATCAGCAGCACTGGGTCCTGGGCAGTTGGCCATATAAGGCTTTTGAAGTGTTTGAGTGATTCGATGAATTCTTCATCCATCCAGTCATTTCTGCTACATGTGTAAATAGCACCAGGGGACATTCAAACTCATTCAGATCAATAAATTATTTTGTTTGGGACAATGGCAGTCATGCTGTGATAATGAGAATCACTGACCACAAGCACATTTTTATCATAACTACTCATAAACTTTTGTATATAGAATGTTTAAAATTACTCGCACTTGATGTCAAATGATTTTCTGTAATACTTTCCTTCCAACAAACTTTAATTCTTTCAGAAATCTCCAAGTTTACGGAGGTAAGACCTTACTTTCTGAGAGCACTTTCTAAGATCACCCACTCACTTTCCTGATACGAACGATTCACATCGCGATCCCTCTCACACACTCCCCACCAACTGTCTCAATGCTCAGCCCTAGAATGTACTGCCATCCTTCTTGGAACCCCTACCACTCCCATAATCATCATCTCTGCCTCGTTTCCTACCTCTGGTTTGAATATCCTTAACAACCCACCCCGCCGCTTTATCCTTGCAGGCGACGTCAACTCTAAATTCACCGGATGGGGCCGCTCGACTAGTAACATAGCTGGACTGAGACTTGAAGACTTCCTAAACAACAATCCCCAAATCCACATCAAATGATCCCCTGAACTCACCCACACAGTTAACGAAAACCTTCACGATATCCTCGACTTCGTCCCACGCTCTTCCCAACTCCACATCACCACACCCAATTCCAAATATGGCCTCTATGACTTTTCCGACCACTTCCCCACAACATTCACATCCTCATCCACAACTACCTGCATTTCCCCAAAACCCCAACCATGCATAACACCTACTGGAAAGCTTACAAACATACCCTGTGCAAAAAGATATATGTCTCAGCCAACCTCCAAACAATCCCTTCCATTCACAAATCCATTAAACACCTTAACCAACTGTACCTACAAACGAACCACCACCCTCACCCAGCAACTACATCCTACTTTCCCCGACGAAATTATACTATCAGACTGAAGAGACAAATACAACGACGTTCTCACAAATACACACGAGATGATGACAAAAAAGATTTTAAAACAGACCCAAAGACTGGTTCATTCAGTTCTATGAAAATATGAAACATACAAATACAATGACTTACTATAGGAGCAGCCCTAATAATAGCCACAAACTAATTAAGGAAGTATGAAATACACCAACCCAAATTTTCCCACTTTACACCAACCAAAATTCCCTATCCTTTGATCCCCAAAAAATTGCAAACACCTTCGTAAGTTTTAACTCAAAAATCTTTTGAATTTCTCGTGTTTGTGTCATGTCTTAACAATTCCATGTGTTTAATTGTGTATTTTGTTGAGGTAAGTTACGATTGATAATCCTTCACAGGGTGCAGGAATGTATTAGGAATCTTTGAAGGCTTTTAACCACATGTTCAATATTTTGATGAATAAGGAACATTTTCCCCCAAATCAAGAAAGATAAAAAGCTCAAACTTTTCAGACCCATTAATTATCTTATTATGTTCACTCTGTTTCGTTCTCAGTGAAAGATGTATGTACATACTAACTTTAAGAAATATTAAGGTATATATAACAAGAAAATGTGTAAAAAAAATAGTATGTTATTAAATAATTACAAACTAAATAATAATTGTTTGTGAAGAGAGACAACCATTCAGTATATATTTGAAACTCGAATCACTATTCCTGGAACGTTTCAACATATTGACTTCAGTTCTTAGAGAAAATGTTCCATCAAGAAAATTCATTTTAATATAGGAAAGGGTATCACTCCCGGATCCTGTAAAAAAAGGTTATTTACATATTTTCCTTCAAAAACGTTTCTTGTAAGTATTGCTTGAAGTTTATGAAATGTATTAATTTTTAACAAAAATTATTCCAAATTTTGTCTTCAATTTTTTCCCTAAGATACAGCAAATAGTGCTGCAAAAATGGCTTAGGTTTAACTTTCAGATAACTCTTTTTTTGTTTTTGTGAACTAAAAATTAATATTGATAAACTTTAATATTGAAGATACAGATTTTTTTCCTTAATGAATTCTATTCTTTAAAATTACGTCGTGAAATAATGTAAAAGAAAATCCCTAAATTTTTGAAAATTGCAAATGCAAATAAATGTTCAACTTTTTTTAAGAATCAGGAAGGTTGAGTTCATGTGTGTGTAGGGATAACATGGTATAGAGGTAGCATGTCTGGTGTGTTAACTCTTAGGGTCTAAGTGTGACCTCAGTGGAGATAAAAAAAAATTGCAGTTGGAAACACTTTTTCAGGTCTATATAGAATCATAATATTCTGAAGCCTTTACAAAAAATGCAAGAAAGAATGTTGTAGGACCACTAGTTTATTAACTAGTGTTACTTGAGGAAGGACATTTAAGTTTTGTAAAAGTATAAAGTCATAAAAAGTGTGCAATACAAAATTTTGTAAATGATTGTTACATATTTGAAAATTATCAAACTGAAAATGGAATAGAACTATTCTAATTGAGTTGAACAAAAGAATTATATTTTAAATTTATTTAGTCAAAAAACAGGTAAAATTGTATGTGACGTAGGGGGGAGAAGATTATCTGCATACGTTTTCTTGAGATCCAGAATCCCTTCCCATCATTTTAATTAAGGATAAAAATTAAGAAAAAAATATTATTTGTCAAAATACATCAGTTTGTCAATCTGTGTTCTCCACCTAGTGAATTTCCTACCCTTGGTAATAAAGACTTAACTGATTACCTTTGATAATTGACTGACAGACTAGGAAGAAAATTCTAGGTTTAGATCAAAAGAATGAAATCCTCAATTGATTTACTTTATCTATATTATGTTCCTTGTATCATATCTTTGATAGAATATTTGGAGTGAATACTATTTTATTCACACTGTACTTGTGTTATGGATGAAAAATGAAAGAAATCCAGATTGAGTTCACAAAAAAAATTAAATATACTATATGTGTAAAAGAAAAAAAAGATCTCCATGCCGATAAAAAAAATTGTGGTTTGGAAATACTTTTTTATGTCCATGTAGTATCACAATGTTGTGAAGCTGCTACTAACAAAGGTAAAAAGAATATGCAGTTGCATCACCACTTGTTTATTAACTAGTGTAGTACTTGGGAATGACCTTAATGTTTATGTGAGAGTCATAAACAAAGCATTAAGAAAAAAAAATTGAAAGTGATAATATCTGTATTTATAATGTTCTTTTTGACATTTTTTCTATTAAAAAGTATTTTTAAAAACTTATCTACTCTTCCTAATTCACTGGTTTTCAAAGTCAGCTCTGTTTGGTTACAGAGTTTCATCAAAGGAAGCTGTATGCTTTGTTTCAAATTTCAGTCATCAAATTCAACGTAGTACAAATATATCTATATTCTCGCTGTTATAATGCATTTTTATCTTGACTCTATTAGTTAATGTATGCTTTAAAAAACAAAAGAACTAAGACACACAAAAAAAAGAAGGGTCATTTCATAACCTTGATAAAAAAGAAATTATGGAATATGAACCATTAAAAACATTTTTAACAAAACAAGAGTTTTCTGAATAATCAGAATTCTGTGATTCAACTATCAAAATTATCCTTGATAAGACTCTCTTTCAATTTTCCATGATATTCATTGATTTTTCCTAAAAATGAGGAAGAAATTATCATTCACAGTTACACTACAAACTGGATCTTAAAAATATATATAACTCAATTTAAGAATGTGTCTGTCATGATTTGTGTGTTAATGAATACACATACCCAGGCACTAAATAGGAAACATTCAAAAGTTTCAGTACAAAATTTAAATATTGTAGACGCAATAAAAATTAAAAACATTTGTTCTTTAAAATTTGTTCATACAAATGATACAATATATAATATATTTTATGTACACAACATCACTGACATTCACAATACCTTTGGGATTGTAATAGGATAGTGAAAAATATCCAACTTAGATATTTTCCTTCTGACAAAATACTAGAAAATGTTACATCATTTCTTGTACTCACTGGTTACATAAAATGTTTCATAGAACCATCATATTTATGGAATGAACATCACATAGAAAATTAGTTAACAGTTTCACTTAAGGTCCACAAAATCCATTCACTACAACATGCTCACTAAAAAGGACTAGAGTCATATCTTCATTCACTTCATTTCTATAAACATTCTCAATAATTTCCTTAAATAATGAATGTGACCTGAGAAAATTCAACCAGCAGACCACAGCGGAGTGTAGCATACTTTGTATGCAATAAATTCAATACATGGTATCGGGCAGTCTTCAAAGTAGAAATTAGCTACTTCATTTTCAGAGAGTCTTTCTGTATTGCGCTCATCAATTGACTGTGCTTGCAGCAGAGGAAATTGATAGATGGCCACGATTTCTACAGGAGAACTTGCCAAATAGTTTCTGAAAAAATAACAAGAAAAAAAGAAATATGAGTTAATGCAATAAAAATTAAAGCTTTTTTAAATTAACATCAGTATTCTTTCAATTACATCAGCTTGTATCCTCAAGGTAAAGTATTTAATAATATATGCAAAATGTTTGTAAGTGATTGGAGCCTATCTATTTGAACATCTAGTTTTTGAACAAATTTAGAAATATTATAATTTAGAAATATTTTTACCATTTGTATTGAAAACACTAAAGAAATGTTTTCAAAATGAGTAGCTGTTAAACACATACATTCATCTTAATCTGAAAGAGAAAACCATCCCTTGGGGAAGGGTCTGAGAGCTGGAGCATGGGAAAGTGTTTTTTTATTACAGGAAATTCTTGAGAACGGAAAGAAGTCATTTGCATTCTTATTGGGGCACAAGAAGTGAAATAGATAACTGTATTAATTTACAAACAAGTATGTATGATCTCCTTTTGGTCACAAAATTATCTGTTATGCCTCTAATGTCAGACATATTCTTGTGTATTCCATTTTGTTGGTATTTTGAGCTCTCCCCCCAAAAATTTCTCCTTATCACAAACTTCTTCTTGACTTATTGTAATCTACAAATAACCACATCATTCATTAACTGATTATAAATTACTGATTAATAATTAAAAGTAATTGAAATCTTCTCAGTTCTTCAAACAATTATTAAGATAATAATGGATATCAATACATTAATTATTGATTATCAATTGGTTAACTTTCAATTACGAATAAACTGGTGCTAAAAAAGTGCCTAAGGAAATGCTATACATTTTTAGAATATCTTTTGTTTCTTAAGTTTCATTGAATTTTCATTCCTCGTTGTTTAACAATTTTGAAAGCAAAGTATTGAAAAATTTTCCAATTCCTTTTCCACTCATTTTAATGTTAACCTCGATATTTGGTGCTCATAAATTGCTATTTTAAAAAATGTATAAAATGACTGATAGCAAAACAAACTTGTTATATTTGTTCACACTTATAAAACCATCAAATTACCATCTTGAAGATTGTCTCTCAAAGCATTACATTGTCCATTTACATGTTAAAGTGAGAGTTTTCTGAGAGTGTGAGTCATTTTTATGAATATCACATATCAGAACGTGAGTGGTCTTAGGTGCAACGTTGAATCAACATTGCTGTTTCATTTAGTCAGCTTTCTTATAAAATTGATTGTTGCCTTTTGATTTTAATTAAAGCTTATAATTTGCTTCAAATAGAATGGAAAATGAAAGATTTTTTATTAAAAAAATAAATTGTTGCGTCTTCAATTGCCGCAACGCGTCCCCAAGCCCCGGGGGGCGATGAGCGTTTTGCGCTTTCGGAGTAATCCTGCATTAATAATTCAATATCATATTCGTCAGGACTCGTTGTAGTCGGTTGTCAATATTAGGGGGCGGATTTTGATGATCTAAAACATTGCCAAAAATTATCAATAAAATCACAACTGCTGATATATTAATACATGAGCGACGAAATCGAATAGGCTACTCAAGAATACTGTGGTGAACATTTATTGCACGTCGTAAAAATTGTTTGAAGCAAGCATCATTAAAATTATATTGAAATTGTTGAAATCAGCAAAAAAGCAGTAAAATGAGGTAAAAAGATAAAGAAATGACTTATTAGTCGAAATCGAGGAAAAATGCAAGAAAATGACGTATTAAAATGGGTCATTTCTAGACGTCCTATCATAAAATGAATTTTTATACTAAACAGTATTGTTCTAAAGTGAAAGGAAAAAATGACATTTCATTAAAATTCGTCCTTTAGTAATTATAAACCGTTCAATGCACAGCTGCAGTTGTACACTGGAGCTGATACAACACGATGTTCTTGTGCTTTTTGGGAGTTAAGGGTGTGCTATAACACAGAATTAAATGTTCCTGAACTGGAAACTGGAATGTCCTTATATCTCTAGACAGCTGTGATTTAAATTTATACTTGACTCGTTGGAAATTGGCATAACGCCTGGGGTGGAAATTATATCAGAAAATATTTCATCTTATTTATTGAGCTGGGGTAAAAAGGAAATCTGGTATAAGGTTATGGTTGTCGAACACTAGACTTTAGAGTTACTAAGATATCTCTACTAGAGGGTAACTAGAGAACTACCAGAATAATGAATATAAGAAGACAAGCTTGTTTCAGTATTTGGTTCGCAAGTTGCAATTCTCTCAATATACCAGAAAAAAATTAAGCATTTGCAAAATTGCCAATAAAAAGATGGCATGAATTTAATGATATTTACAGAGAAAATGCATGTAGTTTATTAGCGCTCTTTAAGAAATATGTCATATTTGTTATCATATCTAGTGATTTATTTACTGACTGCAAGTAATACTTAATTTTTCTTCAGTTTATTTAGTACATTGTTCTGAACTTTTCATTTCCTTACTCCATTTCACTGACTACTAAACCCTCGACTGGCCTAACAAAAGCAAAGGCCTTCCAGTGTGGTGCATTACTTCAGTTGAATCGTTTTTTACTTGATCAGAATCAACTTTTATATGTGTATTTGTACGAACTTATTTTCTCCCGGGCTTGACGTGCGGAACGTTCTAATTTGATCTACTTCATCAAACTCTCAGGATATTTCGCTAATTCTACTTGGGTTACCTCTGGTTCTTGAATCACCACAACTATTCTCCGAAATCTCTGCGTCGCAAAAGGCTCGCCGCAGTCGCAGGCTCTCTGTGAAACTACGACAGCGAACGCATGCAGATGTAGTGGCGCGTCGAAGGGCTCGCGTGAACGGCGAGTATGGACATTGGGCCGGGTGGGCATTCGAGTGTGATGGTCTAGTTATCGAATAATACTATTCCTCTTTAGTGTAGTCTTTCCGCTCGACCGCCCCACCTGACCGCTCAAAACATTTGAAAGCTTTATGGCAGTCGGGTCAGCAATACGGACAGTAGGGTTTACGAATATTGTACCCATAGGCGGCGTGACACGACGATCGCAATTAATTTGATACTAAGAGGGCATTTTTCTTATCCCATATCGGGCGTCTGCCTTCTCGCATTGCACTGACTGCCTGGCATCCAGTTACACCAGAACGAGGAGCTCTGGACAGATCATCTCCCCAATTAACCCCTTGAAGAGCTGCCAGGGCTGAACTTCTAATTTTACAGGTTCGTGTTGGAATCGATTGGCAAGAATCAAAGTGTGCCGGGACAAGTCCCACATAAATGACCCGTGAGTATGCCACGCCGAAGCCTAGAGCCCAATTGAGGGTCACCCTGGCTGTTACACTCTGGTTACTTGCGGGCTCCAACTTATGGGTTATTGAGTGGAGTAGTCGTTTTTTTCTTGAATGATCTATGCGTGCCGAGTCAGTACCACAACGCTACAGGGCTTTATATGAGCCTCACCCATACCCGGCCTGACCATTACTCGCGTATCACCAATCACTTCAGCACAAACGAATATGTCCCACGCTTGAAATTATAATCATTAATAAGGCGAGTTTGCTGGTGCGCGACAAGATTGAATGTATCCATAACACTACAAATAGTTTTTCAATACGTTTGAAGCCCCGTTATTATGACCCGAGACCCAAACATCAACGAGGACAATCTTTCTCAAAGCTGGATGTAGCAGGTTCATTAAGCTCGCTACAACACCTCCATCCAGAGTTGAGGTCTAGGAAAAAGTGTTGAATCTTGTCTTCACAAACTCCATAGGCATCCCAGAAGTTTGTTGAGAGACTATTGATCTTTGACTGGATTAGGTAGAGAGCAAGACCATCTTATTTTTCGTGCAATTTTTGTGCAGCAAAGGGGAACCTAAATGTATCATTGAAATTTAACACGCCAAAATAATTGATAGTATATCAAATATATTTGCAGAGTCTCTAGTGGAAGAATAAGAAAGTATTTCTGGAAGGGAGTAATTTTAATTGATACCTCCATAAATATTTTTGAAATAGTAATATTTTTAATTGTTAGCATGAATGAAAAAATGTACTTATTTATTCATAATGGAAAAAATTATTTGGATGTGATGAGACCTATGTATGGCAACTATTTTAAATAACGGGTGAAATTTAAAAAAAATGTTGCCTTTGGAACGGGCATGGTTCCCGTGACCCCCAGCCCCGCTACTAGTTCTAATCCGAAACTCCCCATATCCCAGACTCAGCTATCATTAAATACTTCCAAAAGCCTTCCATTTATCAGCAACCACGCTAGACACATCATAAAATAAAACAGACCATCAATACCCTTACATAAAAAAAACGAGATCTGCTGTATTCTTTTTTTACAATTCCTACACTGCATCCAAAATGCTATTGACCTTTTTCTTGCCAAAATTCCTGAATTTTTGATTTAGTGTTTTGTATTTTCTCATCTCCTGGAAAACTGCTAGCGTTATTATGATTCTCAAAGTCGGCAAAGATCATCAGCTCCCCTTTTTACGACTACCCCATAAGCCTCCTATCCATTCCAGGAAACGTTTTTGAAAAACTAGTTCTGTAACTAAATTCCATTCCGAACTCCATCCTAAAAGCACCCCAATTTAAGAAATCAGCGATCCTCCAAACGTTCATAATGGCTTGCAACATCATAAAAACTCTGCAATCCACAACGAAATCCTCGCAATTTTTACCCATACAAAGTAAATGAAACACACCCATATTTACCAGACACAAATATTTCCAACGTTACAACATAGCCGAACAGAGATTCTCCTTCATCAGACAACTCTCAAGTATCAGATCCAGCCGACGTTCCACAGAACGTCATGCTACCATAACCCCTTATTCGTTTATATACACGGCATCCCTAAAAACGCCGATCACAAAGAAACTCTTTACGCCGATGATCACTCGCCTTACTCCTATCCCACAGCTCCCTAACCCCGAACGGCATCAGCAGCCGAGTTGCTCGACGCCACTCCGTGAATTCACGGTTGTCCAACGAACTCAAGATACGCAGATATTCATGGATGGGTGTCAGTCTGGAAACCCCGGGTATTTAACAACACCGAACCCCTGGCCGAACGGATAAAAAGTAATGATTGACTACGACTAACGATGATTGCCTAACTTAATAAAGTATTAGTCAACATTCGACGCTAGTAAATTGTTAAGATAACCTTGTTGGAAAAACCGTTACGAAATTTTAAAACAAACCTTTCCCAGAAAACTCCAACTTGCCCTTAAACCACTTCGGACTCTGGGATAAAGAAAACTGCACTCCCATCATTCCCACCAAATGTCCAGCAATCAAATTATTCTTGGAGATAAACCCAACCCAACTCACTCAAGCTCTCTCAGAAGAAACCAAACGTTTCCTTGCTGAACGAAATATCTAAATAATAATTTTCACCGCAAACTCCTTTAGCTATCACACATCCATAAACCACTATTAAAGACCACTGTGTTACTAACTCTCGTAACCCAGAGATCATTATCAAATCACGCAAACTTCCCCTTCTCTACACCTACATTCGGCCATTACTAATCTCTGCTTACTCACCCAGGTTAACAAAATCCCACGAAAACTACATAAAACTCTATGCAGGAAATAGAATCATAGACGTATCATTAAGTCCATTCCTGAATACCAACTATAACGATACACGTACCCAAAATAATATCCCACGTATTAATACATCCTTGTATATTCAATAAGAATTCATTCCAAGCTTTCCAGAAAATCCTGCATGGGCAAATCTTCCTTACAAAACCTCAAGCAATCCTCAATAAATTATACAGACACAGGCGTTAAAAAGTAAAACCATCCCCTAGACAAACTTCCTTCTCTTCTTATCTGAGTCTAAGGCCAGTTATGTATACGGATCACAGAAACATGGCTGGCGCAAGGCTCCGAACAAAGATCAAAACTTAATAGTGACAAGAAAATACATTGTCCTCCCTCCCCACCGCTCATCTCATAACCATCTCCTCCCCTAAAGACATATATCCTAAACAACTTCTGTCAGAATAGCCTTATATCTTCCCTCTTTCGCTAAATATAAACCATAAAACAATAACCAGTCCATACAATCCATCCTGTCATATCCTTCTTTAGACGCTGAAAACAGGTCTAACCTAAAGAGCAAAACCCTAACAACAGACCCCACGTGAAGAATCCCCTCGTGGGGACAGGCATTTGGTAAATAATATACCTCGGCGTTTTGATGAAATGCACGGTTAAGAACCTGGACGTTTTAGAATCGAGTTTCCATACGGAGATGTTTATACGTTTAAACTAAAGATTTATAGATTGCGCAATGCTTTCACGAGAAAATGAGCAACAGGCATTGAATAAAGGAAGGGAGGAAGGAGATTTAAAGAGGGAGGAAGGGATTTAAAGAACGAAGATGTGAAGGAATGGAGGAGACAGTCATTAAATATTCTATTTTTTTTGGCGAATTATTAAAATGTGACTATCTTTACATCTTTAAACGAAAAGAGTGACGTAAAGAAATTCCATGTATACTTTCCCAATTTTACTGAAATATTGAACCATCTCATCTCAATATGAAACAGATATTGAAAATTCTGCAGCAATTCTAAATGAAGAAATAAATATCAGCTAGAAATTGTGCATTCCTTACCCTCATTTTTTTGAGTCGTATATGTTTGTGTAACACAGAATACGTCAAATCTGGGACCAAACAAACAACTATGGTTAAAATTGACACCATCCAAAATGAAGGAGTTGCCAGAAGCTGATTGTATATCTTGTACATAGTGCTGTCAAGGATGGGTTCCCTGATAACAGATAAAAATAAGTCACTTTATAGTTATATACACAAATGTCAAATTAAGATTCACTCATAGCCATATCAATTACATCATTTAATAGTAGCTCATATTCTTGGCACAAAATTAATTTAATTTGAACTGAAGATAAAATTAAATTAGTTATGATGTATCATTCATGATTCGTTATTTCTTGGCCTTGCAGTTTTTTATCAATCTTATAAAACACATTTATTTTTCATTAGTCAGTTTACAATACAAGAGTCATATAGGGATGACCTGATACTTACAGCAGTATTGAGGAGTAAGCCAAAGCAATCACAATAAATCCTAGTACGGAGATGATAATGGAGAAAACGAACGGAAATGTCCAGTGCCGGCTTTGCATAAGTAGCTGAAATCATCATAAGAATTATTTCTTCCTATGCTACTTCACACATTTTTAGTTACTTCAATGTATTTATGTAAAACACTATTGTAATTAAGATTTAGTTTCTACTATTTACATATTAAAATGTTTATTTGCTGTACTTTCATACCTTCAGGTTCACAACTACCACAACATTGTGGAACACCACACAACTGAAAGCCAAAAGCTCCAAAGGTTGGCTATTCTGGTGGACAACTGGATTTATGTGCAACATCACGTACGGAACGAAGAACACCACTAACGAGTGCCAAAAACCTGCATCAAATAACAACATTAACAAAGGAAAAACCGACAAAATTATATAAAAGGTATGAAGCTAAGGCCCTTGACAAAGATTCTGTCAAATATCACATGTTATTTTTTACTTATTTGTGTTGTTTTTGGAAATTCGATAATATTCAGTTTTTTCAAGGTTTCATGATCTCTCGTTAACCAACAGTCGCTAATACTTTACAACATTCAAATTCTATCATCAGTATAGCTAAATGTGCAATTTTTGTAAATTTATCTTAAATTCACAAAAAAAATTGGGATTTCATGCATGTCGCAGATTTCATGTATGAAGCACTTTCATTTATAAAACGTTCTACTGTAATTTTGAAGAAATGTATTCAATAATATTTTTAATATATTTATGCCTAAATATGCCGAGTTTAAAATGTGCTGAAAATGTACTACACTCCGAACATTGGAACGAGAGTTCAAAACATCATGTCGCACCTAGTAAATATTGTTCGAAGCGAGAACCATGAAAATGATATTAAAATAGAATAAATCCACAAAAATGCATTAAAAGTCGTAAAAAGTATGAAAATGGCTTATTAGTTGAAATCGACGAAAAATGAAACAAAAAATGACATAAAAATTTCGTTTTCTCATGACATAAAATGCATTTCGACACTAAACGACATTGTTATAACGTGAAAAGAAAAAAAAGAAAAAGACGAGAGAGGGATGCGAGGCCCTGGCCCTCACCGAAGAGCAGCCAGCGCCCGAAGGAGGTCCAGCGCAGCAGCGCGTTGCACGACACCTCCTTGTAGCGCTCGGGCAGCGCGAACAGCTCGCGCGCGGGCACGCGCTGCTCCAGCAGCCCGTACAGCAGCACGGGCAGCGACGTGAAGAACACGTTGAACAGCGTCAGGAACAGGCTGTCGTACAGCGCCTGCGCACAGGTCACAAATACAGTTACAAATACATCATTACTTCCTTCGTGGCTTCAGGCGTGTCAACTGGTATGGTAATATGTCCCGTAAATGTAGTGCATGCCTCGATTATTAGTAGTAGTGGTGGTGGTGGTAGTGACTGTGGTGGTGGCTGTGGTGGTGGCTGTGGTGGTGGCTGTGGTGATGATGCTGGTGGTGATGCTGGCTGTGGCGGTGGCTGTGGTGATGATGCTGGTGGTGATGCTGGCTGTGGTGGTGTGGCGGGGCCTGTGTGTGGGGCGGCTGTGGTGGTGGTGGCTGGTGGTGGTGGTGGCTTGTGGTGGTGGTGGCTGTGGTGGTGGTGCTTGTGGTGTTGCGTGGTGGTTTGTGGTGGTGTTGTGGTGGTGGTTGTGTGGTGTTGTGGTGGTGGTTGTGTGGTGGTTGTGGTGGTGGTTGTGGTGGTTGGTTTGTGGTGGGGTTGTGTGGTGGTGGGGTTGTGGTGTGGTGTGTGGTTGTGGTGTTGCGGCCTGTGGGTGGTGGTGGCGCTGTGGTGGTGGTGGCGGCTGTGTGGTGGTGAAAGGCTGTGGTGGTTGGTGGCTGGGTGGTGGTGGCTTGGTGGTGTGGTTGTGGTGGTGGTGGTGCGTTGTGGTGGTGGTGGTGGTTGTGGTGGTGTGGTGGTTGTGGTGGTGGTGTGCTGGTTGTGGCTGGTGGTGGTGGTGGTTGTGGTGGTGGTGTGGTGGTTGTGTTGTGTGGTGGTGGTTGTGGTGGTGGTGGTTGTGGTGGTGTGGTGGTTGTTGTGGTGGTGGTGGTTGTTGTGGTGGTGGTGGTTGTGGGGTGGTGGTTGTGGTGTGGTGGTGGGGTGTGGTGGTGGTGGTTGTGGTGGTGTGGTGTTTGTGGTGGTGGTTGTTGTTGAGTGGTTAGTGGTGCGTTGTTGTTGGTGGTTGTGGTGGTGGTGGTTGTGATGTGGTGGTTGTGTGGTGGGGTTTGTGGTGGTGGTGGTTGTGGTTGGTGGTTGTGTAGTGGTGGTTGTGGGTGGTGGTGGTTGTGGTGGCGTGGTGGTCGGTTGTGGTGTGCTGTGGTGGTGGTATCGTGTTGGTGGTTGTGGTGGCTTGTGGTGGTGTTGTGGTGGCTCAGTGGGGTGTGGTGGCGGGCGTGTGGTGGTGTTGTGCTGTGGTGGGTTGTGCTATGGTGCGTTGTGGGCTGTGGTGGCTGGTTTGGCTGTGGGTGTGGTGCTGTGGTGGTCGGGTGTGGCTGTGGTGGTTGTGGCTGTGGTGGTTGTGGCTGTGGTGGTTGTGGCTGTGGTGGTTGTGGCTGTGATTTCCTCCCGCTGGATGGTGAGATCCGACGCTGGCTTTCAAGTTGGCTTGTAAGATTTTCCCCAACCAGGTATCTCCCACCGGACCCAGTCCCTGCCGGGACAACCTCTCAGCTCACAGTTGGTCTCCCGATATATGTGATAGTGTAGTGCATGTAAGTGTAAGGGGAGATGATAGGACAAAGAAGAGGAAGGAAAGGTTGCGCACGGCCCGTGGCCCGTAGTTAGGGTACTGTTCAGGCATTCGCTTGGCGTTGATCGGAGAAACCACGGAAAACCACCGATTAGAGCAGCGGGCCGCTAGAATTCTCCTCCAAATGAATTCTACCTAGCTATATAACGTAGCGTTGTAAACCGTGCCACAGGACCTGCCGGTCAGAGTGTGCGGGGGTGGGCGTGTGACGCACCTGCATGGAGAAGGCGCTGAAGACGGCGAAGTAGAGCTGCGGCGTGATGAAGACGACGTTCTTGTAGAAGAAGTACTGCACGAGCGTGGCGAGGCGCTCGTAGTACCAGTGTCCGTGCACCAGCAGCACGCGCCGCAGGAACCGGAAGCGCGCGAACGCGAAGTCTGCGCAGCGCGCCGCCTGCCGGCCCTCGCGCCCCATCACGCCTACGGATACGCGCACGCACGCGCGCACGCCGCGTCAGCCTCGAGACACTCCGCTCGCGAATTCAACACAAGTGTCTGGGCGGTGAACGCGTAGCCAGAGGCAGTGCCTACTTGGCTCTCCGGGAGACCCCGCGTCCTGCACGTTTCGGCCGCCATTCTGCGATCTTTTCTCCCTGAGGAAGGTCGCAGCGAGACGGCCGAAACGCTCGCCATCTGCGCCTAGGACGCAGCGTTTCCCGGACAGACACGGGTGTAAATACTGACTCCGGCCGCCCTCAAGAAGGTCGAAGTATGTCTGCCGATACGTTGGCATCTCTGCTTAGGACGCGACATCCCCCGGACAACCAAGTAGATACGTCTCAATGGTAACTGTTGAAAAGTCAGATCCCAGGGTACGTGAGCAATCATTCTAGTATTGTTTCATATCTAATATTGTCACTATGCTTTAATGTGATTATTTATACAAGTGATTTATTTTCATCATTTAAAGTGCATTGTTTGAAATTGTTGTTCCTTTGCATCGACATATCTCTGATACCCGCACCTAAACATTTTAGGCCTCTGTACAATAGTTCGTAATTCTTGAAATTTTGTCTCCTCATTGAATGATAACCTACTCCACCTGAGGCACTCTATACCGCCTTCAGTGTCGGCAAAAAAGAATAGAAGTGTTCATGCCACTCATGAGTTATTAATGCATAACCACCTTTAAACTATCTTTGAATACAAAAAAAGGTATTTCGTCTTTCGACAACATATCAACAATATGGACACGTATGTAAGTAAGCAAATCTCTAACTAAATATGTAGTATGTAAGCGAATGATTGCTTAGAAATTCACTCTAGTGAGTCTGTGAGTAACTAGTTATAATGTACGAATGTCACAGGCGGGGAATTAAAATTCGTGCGATATTAAAACCATAAGAGAGTAGAAGTAATAATGGGTTGTGACTTTTGACCCACCGCGTAAACTGCCACACTGTAAAGTTTTATTTACCAACCTGCATGTCTAAGTCTGCTCTTTCGTAAGTCCAACCTTTTTCGCTACATCACAAGTATTTTTGCTCAAGTATTAACCACAGTCGCCGTTTCCAAAATAAAATATTTTTGTTCAAAGCTGCTAGTCGATGCAACGAGTGGGTGCAAGTGGCGCCTCCGGTCGTTAACTCACCCAGCCCCACGTGCGCCTCCTGGATCATGGAGACGTCGTTGGCGCCGTCGCCGATTGCAGCTGTCACCGGCGCGTGCGCTGACGTCTTCACCATCTGCACCACCTGCGCGCACACACAGCTCCCGTAAGCAAACTGCCTCGTCTGAGACGTTTCGTCGCCAAAGGCAGCACCATGCCGTTTTTACCACATTTAAGAATACTGGTGTTGGAGCACTGTTAGTCAGGTCTGTTAATGAAAACTTAATTTGGTTACAAAAAGAGAAGAATGTTTGATTAGGCAAAGTCGACTTTCCCCAACCTGGTATCTCCCACCAGCGAGGCACCGCCCCAGCCAGGACAAGCTCGAAACTCCCGACCTGTCTCCCGGCATGTATGGTAGTGTAGTACATGTTTGTGTGTGTATGAGTGTGTGTAAGGGGAAGAAGAGAACAAGGAAGAGGAAGGAAGGATCGCGCGCGGTCCGATGCCCGCGTGTTAGGGTACTGCTCCGGCATTCGCCTGGTGTTGATCAGAAAAAAAACACAGAAAACTACTGATCAGAGCAGCCGGCCGCTAGAATTTTCCTCCAGACAGTGCCTGATTTCGACTAAAACTATCTAGCTGGTGGCGAAAAATCCTGCTACCGTTGGGACTCTAACCTAGGACCTTCCGGTCAAGAGGCTGCAGTGACATCAGTTAATACCCTGAGCCATCTCTCCCGGTTGTAATGATGGGAATAGTAGTATCGCGGACGC